GGGGGGGTTGTTTTTTGTAAATTGGTGGTGGGGGAAGAAAAACAAAATAATTTTCGTTCTGCAGTGGGCTAGCCTTCCCTCCCGCCCCCGTTCCCCCTCCCCCGATTTGTCAGAGTTAGATTCAGCTTTGGTTAACAAACTACAGGTCTCACAAAGTATATCAGTACTCTAAACTGGAAATAAGTGCACTCTTCTTTAGCAACACCTTTTTTTTTCATATCCATATTTGCTCTCTTGTGTCAACAGAAAAAAAATAATCACACGGCCAATGAGAGACGCCGTTACATCGGACTCACTCGGTAGAACAACAAAAGGCAACAGCTCTTCTACAAGTGTCGGAAATAAGAGTCAACCAAAATGTCACTTGTAGAAGAAGCTGTTCCAGGACATTTTGTATCCAAAAATAATTTTAAAAAAAATCAAATATACAGTTGAGGAAAAAGATATGCCAATTAATAGCAGAGTACCATATCACACCTCAAACGTTCCTAAATAAGCTTCTTTTTTTGTTTCAAAAAAACGAATAAAAATATATATTAAAAAAAAAATCAAACGCATAAATAAAATGATGTTAAACATCTTTTTTTTCCTTTCTGGACATATTAGGAAATATTTCCAGTTCTTTCTTTTCTATCTTTAAAATATAGATATATATTAACTTAACAAAGGAGAAATGAGGGAAAAAAAAAGGTTTGGTGAAATTAGAGCAAAGGAACCAGCAACAGAAAAGTGCATTTATTTGTACAATGATTTGCGACTCCTGCACTACCTGCCCTCCTGCTCCCCTGTTGCCTCTCTCTCTCTTTCTCTCTCTCTCTCTCTCCCTTCGTCTGCTCAGTTCCAGCGGAAGGAGATGTGACGGGGTCGGTCGCCTCCTTCCTTCACCAGGGGTTTGTGGAACTCCCTGCCGGCCCGCGAGTGGATGGCGGCCCAGCAGTACTCGCAGTAGTACTGCAGACAGGTGACGTTGGCGCAGAAGAACGGTGCAAACTTGCCGCCGCATCGAGTTCCCTGGCACTCGTCGCACAGCTGGTCGTCCAGCACGTATGGCTTCACTTCCACCTGTGATCAGAGGTTGCAATCATTTGATCAGTGATTCAATTTTCCACTCCTCTGCTTCTTTTATACCTCGAGTGTCGAGATGTTTTTTTGTTTTTTTTTCATCCGCAACACTCCACGCTGCCCGGGAGGGCCGAAAAATCCATTTAAGATGCGATAAGACGTGGGAGAACATTTTGGCGTCTTCAAAACTGAATCACAAAGAGCATGAAAAGATTGTATTAAGACTGCGTCTGACCCTCGGATACCTGATCAAATGATGGAATCAAGGGAATGGATCTCTTTAGGACGCGTCCTTTTTCAAAAGAGCTTCTTCTTATTCTTTTAATCATACTAGTACGTACGTGAAAAACTTTATATACAAACTACAAAAAATACCCTTTAAGGTAGGCGAGTGCCAACTTTTCAACAAATTAAAGTTGTACTCCTGTTCTACCAATGAGAACAGCTCACTGTGAGCTGCACAGACTGGCTGATTACACTAATACCTTAGCTGCTGACAGTAGTTGTTGCTAAGTCCCTGCTAGCATTAGCATTGTTCGAAAGTACTTTCACTGTGAGGTGATTACATTCAGTTGAACTGATGGGGAAAACCAGAGGCATTTTAACAATGGCAGGAAAACAAGAAAAGCCAAACGGAGGTGGAGTGAATTCCACAGCTGTTGTTTGGAGGCGTGTGTGTTGCGTGAGCCGTTCCTCTGTCACCACGTTACGTGACACAATAATAGAATGGGGCCACAGTTCAGTCAATAGTTACACCTTTTCCCTTCCCTGGTATGACAACGACTGAGCATAGGTTACCACAGAAAAGTAGTCATAACTTGTGCAAACGTCTGTAATGTCAGTAGAATAGTCCGGAATGATTCATTGATAATTACTGGGCTGGGTCTGATTAAAGCTTGAAGGAAGCTAAAAGGCAGTATGTGCACATGTTACTGGACTCTAGTCTTCACTGGACTGTATTGCAAAAGTCATTTAACCACAAGGTGGTGTTACAGTTAATACTCGTAGCACAAGTGTGAGCGTTCTGAAGTTGCTGGCTAACAGCTTTGACAATTTTTGCGACTTACTGCAAAAGACGTCTTTTGGTCACTACCTAGGGCATATGTGTCAAACTCAAGGCCGGGGGGCCAAATGCGGCCCGCCAAGCTGCTTTGTGTGGTCGGCAGGAGCTTAAAAAGCATTTAGTAAAGTCCATGCAGCAAAGTTTCTTAACCTATGAAATTAAAAGTTTTTTTATTACACAGCACTGAACAATAGTTTGAATAAATAATAATCAATTGTAGAAACATGCATTAATCTGTTATGGAGTAGTTACATCTATACCTGCGGTCCCCAACCTTTTTTGTTCCAATGATTGGTCAGCCAGTACCACCTGTCACCCGTGAGCTATTATTTTAAAATATTGCTAGATTATCTTTAAACAAAGAAAGTAAATG